TAATAATTATGATCAAATTTTTACTAATCAAAAATAAATTTAAAAGAAGTTATAAAAGAAACACAAAGAAGTCTCAAACTAATTTCAAAGAAAAATAACAAGAAATCTTAAAGAAATATAAAAATAAATCTTTAAAGAAATAATAATAATCTTAAAAAATATTAGAAATAGAAATATTTAAAAAATTACTAAATAATTCCAAAGAAATATTAAAAATAAAAACTATAATATAATCTTAATTGAAATATTAATTGAATCTTAATCAAATCTTAGGTCAAATCCTAGATCAAATCCTAATTAAAATTCTAATTGAATTTTAACCAAATTCTATATCAAATCCTAATTAAAATTCTAATAAAATTCCAAATCCTAGACAAACCTTAGATTAGTTCTAAACCAAATTTCAAGCAAATCCTAGACCAAATCCTAGATTTTAAACAAATTCTTAACAAACTCTATAGCAAATAGAACCTCAAAAATTAATAATTAAACTATTGATGTTAATTCAAATTTTTCATACTTCTTAATGTCTTGGTTAAAAACAAGTACAAAAAAATGAAATCAATTGCATTTTCCAATTGAGAGAAAAACAAGATAATTCAATTGGATGTTAGGCAGCTTCCTACTCTCATGTGAATGCTAAATTTCTAATGCCAATATCTCCTTCTTAAACTATTAAATTGCTTCTTATTTTCACTTAAAATGTTGAAAATTGAGTCTACTGTCTATGTAAGAAAATTTTACTTCAATCCAATTAATAGATTGTTGGAGATCTTAGAAATACTCATTGACCCTCAAACTCCAATTTTTGAGACTTTAATCCACAAAAACCTTTACACACTTTAATCTAATTGTTCAATTGACCTCAAAATTTAAATACACATTAGCAACTAGAACACCAACACATTGCCCAAAATTCATCTATACTCACACCACAAAACTCAAGAAACCTTCAAATTTGTAAACTTATTTTTATTTTTCAAAAATCTAAACCAACCGAGAACATCACTAACTTTGAAAATTCCTCAAAAATTCAATATTGATTCGATTGATATAAAACCAACACCCAAAAATCTCTCCTCAAGTCTACTCTCAAGTCTACTCTTCCTTCTATATATGCCTATATCATTTCTTATCTCATTCACTTTAATTTGGCTTATTTATGCCTCTATAAAGTAAATAGAAGTTTCTTCTACAAAAAGACAACATTAAGACTAAATCTTTTACTACCTTTTTATCATTTATCCTTATTTTTGTATTGCATCTTTCTATTAGGTTCTTCTATAATAACATCTATATTTTTATTTTTCACTATATAGTTGTGTTACTACACGACACTGGGCATTTAGTTGTAGAAGCTAAGTAGAAATGCAACAACAATCCTATTAAGTCTAATAGAATCTTTAATAAAATTTAAATAAACCTCAATAATTCTAATTGAACTTTAGCCAATGTAAAATAAATTTAAAAGAAGTTACAAAAAAACACAAAAAATTCCTAAATTAATTTCAAAGGAAAATAACAAAAAATCTTAAAGAAATATAAAAATAAACTTTCAATCATAGATTACTAAATAAACTCAAATAAAATAAAATAAAAATTAAGCTTTAGACATAAAATAAATCTACATTATGGAATTCAATGTTTTCTTATGGTGAAGTAATTGTGCATATTAGTTAAGCAATCAACTTGTCTATAATATATACGTATAATTAGCAGATTATTTAGCACCCAAACAAATGGGTCTTAAGTCCTTGAATGCCATGTACGTAATCATCACTTATCAATGCATTGAATATACCTGGGTTTTGTCAAAGAATAAAAAGCAAATTGAAAGCTTACACCAAAACATTTTTAAAAAGCTTATCTTATTCAGAATGACATTCATTCTTATTAGCGGCCTTGAAAAACCACGAGCATGCCGGGTGGTCTTTTTTCTCAACTGGGTTCGCAAGCATTCTCCAGTGTCAGTTGTACAGCCTACATTCCGATCATCATGCCAGAGGACATTTTTAAAATAGTAAGTCTTTTGGACGATCCAGAAGTTGCTTCGCCCCTTTGCCTGGGGCTCTTGACAAATACAGAGTAGATTGACAGGAAATCGAGATTCCCAGAGGAGGAACAATGAAAAAAACTCATTAGAATCTTAACTATTTTTCCCTCCCTGCCTCGATTTGGTTCTCTTAAGAAATCGGGAGAGACGCATTAAGTGGTTTCCGATTCAGCACAGCTCACTTTCAAAAGGAATAGAATGAGATCCAGGTCTGATCTGAGGTGTTTATTCGGAAACCCGAGCTGCCCAAAGTCAGCATTGCATGACAAGTTCATTTCCTTACAAATATTCTTTTGCCAGAAAGAGGTAATTGTTCATTGCCGAGGGTTACACCGCTTGATAAACTCTGGGGCTCACAGTAGACATTCCAATCTTTTCACGTTCACGCTTTTGTGGGTACAACTTGGAGGTCACCGTGGGACCAAGAAGTTGAACTGACTGTCGTCCGGGTATCGCTCGCTTCGATAATCAACATTCCTGTTTGAGCACACTCAAACTATTTCTGTCGACCCACATTACTAGAATTGGGCATGTAACTTTCCCAGAAACGAAGAAAACTGGAATATCCATGCAGTGTTTTGTGAGCATAATACAGAGTATTAAGAATTGGAGATATGGTGTCCAGATTAAGTGTGAAGAGGTGAGTGGCGACGCCTTTTGGGATTTCCTAGACACATAGGCATTGGCTGCGGGAATCCATCGTCAATTCATGTCCTTTTCGGTTGCACGCTTGCCCGATCTCCAATCTTTTCAACTGCTTCGGTGGCTGGAATCAAAATCCGAGGCAACAAAACAAGAGCATGCAAAATGATTCTTTGGGAGAAAGGTTGGGAAGGCAGGAAGATATCTGGAAGAATCGGACCGGCACTTAGTCACCCTCCCCCCGAAAAGTAAGCCACAAAGCCAGAGTGCTCTCTGTTGCCCTCATCCATACGATCGTTTTTTTTTTTTTTTTTTTTTTTTTTCATAAATATATCAGTAACAAGCTCCCAGCGGAAGCCACGTCAAGTTGGTGGCAGCTCGCCCATGGCGACCTGACGACTGCCTCCATCGTTACCGCATTGCTGCCCAGCTGAGTTGGAGTTGCACGGCCGCCACCCACAGGCATCTCCACTTTGAGACTGCTACTTTTGGGGAAAGCAAAAACAAATCAGTCGTCTCTGTTCGTTTTCCATGGCTATGCAAGTGGGCCGGCGGCTGGGTGGTGATTTCACAGTTTTTCTGCTCACAACTCATTGGGTCATCTGGAACGTGGAAATGTTGGACTCTGAAGCATGAGCTTGGTGAGAAATCGGGCCGAATTTGGTCGTGATTTCAGCGGTAGCAGACCGGGCCCTGCTGGCAGTCCTTTGCAAACAATTTCTTCGAGTATTGTGAATTGAGGTGAGAGGTGGCGTTTCTGTTATTAAACCTCAACCCACCTGAGATTTTGAATCAGTTGTACAAATAGAGAAATGTGACTTATGGTCTATATGTTCGTCAAAATATATGGAGCGTGTTTTAGGAAAACCCATTTTAGCAGTGCCTTGGATTCAAAGTAGAATGCTTCATGGATTGGGTATAATTCTGACTCTTGTCTTTAATACAATGCAAACATTTGGGAACAATATTTGTCAATGTTTATACCACATCAGTAATTTTAATAACAATAATAATAATAATATTGATGACAAGCAACACATTACAAAAAAAACAAATTTTATACTTTTTTATCGTAATGATTTTAAAAAACTGATAAATGTCAGAAATACCAATTTTGCACAACGTTCGTCTATTGGTTGGAACTCCCAGAGAAAATTAACATAAAAAACAAATGATTAGATTGTTATAATATGCCAAACATAATATTCTATTCATGGCACAATAGAATATCCTACATATGTGCGTGTGTACATATACATAAATATAATTCTACGTGCTTATAGGTTGTAAACTTGAAAGTTGGTACTTGAAAGTATAGAAAGCAATTGAGAGAGACATCACATCACATCCCAACTCCCAACTTTTCAAAGTCTGAAATGCATCTAAAAAGAAATCATAGCAGATTGAGTAGAAGATGGGAAGAGCCATTTTCTGATGTATAATTATTTGTACATACGTGGGCCAAGACTGAAGCATCCATGTAGCTCTAGGGGTCTCAATTTGGAGTTCTTCACCAATCTTACACCTGAAAGGAGTAGCGAGTGAGGTGAGGCATTTTCTGATTGTTTGTCTTTCTGACTTATTGATTGACTGTACTGAACTGGGTATCTTCGAAGCACGCGGAAAGGATGAGCCGTTGGGTGTGTGTGTGCTGAGAGGAGCTGAATCAGGGGTTTGATTAGAGCTTAGGTGGGTTAATATGCACAACTAAAACGCTCCCAGCCCGATTGCACAGAGAGCGGCCACACACGCCGTGCGAGGCGCGGCCACGATCGCAGTCGCACTGGAGCAGGGAATGGATCGATGCGCGACGCCAGACGGATGATCGGTCCCGGGATTGGCGCGGGATTTTAATGCACCCCCACCCTGCGCATCTCGCAGCGCAGATGCGAGAGACCCCATCACAAGGCCCACCCTCGCTGGAAAGGGGCCCATCGCACGGCCCACGATCGCTGCGCTCCGGCGCCCGTCTCCCGGAGTCAGCCACCACACGACGACGCCCACTGCGTGCTGATGCTGCTCCTGCTGCGGTCCCCCCGGTCCCCTAATTCAGCGATACCCCAGTGTGGCACCGCAGAAGGCATTCATGGCCGTGTGATACCGCATCGGAGGGCGCAGAGTGGTCTTTCGCAAGGAAAAGCGGGAGAGAGAGAGTGCGTGTGACGAGTGTTGGCTTTGAGGGGAGAAGGCGAGTGAATGGCGTCGTGGAGTGTGTAGCTCTGCCGTAAATCTGTAGTCATCCCCAGCGACAATCCGCTTGCCCCTGCTCTTGCCCCGCACGACCAAGGTGTAGGCATCGGTAGCACACACACCGACCACTCTCCCCACAGCCTGCTCCCTTTCATCTCTTTTCCTGATCCATGGATTTTTTTTATTTTCTTCCTCTCCTTCCCCTTCCTCCCCCTCCCCCTCCCGTCACTTTGCGATTTAGGGGGTGCAGCTAGGAAGGACGCTTTTAATGATGCTCTTGTGGGATTTCCGGTTGTTAGAAGCGTTCGAGGTGGGGGCAGTTGGAGAGCGCGGTTTGTAAGGTTGATTTATGGACTGCGGTAGCTGGGAAATCTGATCTCTGGTTTTGTGGGTTCTTGTACCCTAAGTGTGCCTTGACATCACGACACTCGTTGTTTGGGTTTACGCCACTTCGGCTCACAGAACCCTAATTGAGAGAGGTCCTATTCGATGTTGTGAGTGCGACTGTAGTCGAGTGGAAGGTTTCCAGCAATGGGATTTTGTAGTGGAATTTAGGCGAGTAGTTTTGTGATTGTGAGAGCGTAGGGCATTGTTTTGATTTATTGGTCATTGAGTGTTTGTCGAGTATTGAATTTAGTTTGGATGTGATATGGTTCAGCTTTGAAGTTTTCCTGGTTAGACGAATGTACTCGAGAAGTCAGAGGATGTTATGCATAGATGCTCCCGGACGCTATACTCTTAGTGTTTCTGTTTTTACTAGATGTAGCAATTGAATAGGTAAACTGAAACGGTGTCGTTATCTAGACGTAGGAGCTGCACATTGTCGTAAATTATCTGGCTTTTGAGGTGTCAGAAATCTGAGGTGAAAGCTTTATTTTTGCTGAATTTCTTGCGTTGATCGCATGCGAGCTGTCTTTGTGTCAAGGTTTTGGTACGATGTCTCTGAAATCCTCGACGGCTCATCTTCATAGTGCTTGGTTACTTGTTCATTTTGCCTTCTTTTCCATTTTAAAAGAAAGTTATTTCTGTCTCTGGAAGTTGGAAATTCTTTCCCAGCACTGGTGTGGCTCAGCCTCGGTCTTGCTGTTTCGCGATTGAAGTTTCACTGGAAGGTTCTGCTTTAAGTTTCAATTCATAGTACGCTACTTAGAAGACTAACTAATGGCCCTTTTTTCAGCAGTATGCGGAAGGGCACCATGGTAATAGTGATGCTTTATGTCACAAAATACATTGAGGAGAATTGTTAAAGGCGCAATGTTCTTCGCAATGCCTAACAGCTTGACGTGTGTGCAGAGGTTCAAGGTGCTTAGCTTGGCAATCATGTCATCAAAAGATTTGAAGCACTGTAAATTATTCCTGATATTACATTGATCACGTGTTTGGTATCGTTGCTATTGGCAACATTTTCTAGAGATCTAGAGAGACTCAAAGAAATGAGCTGTGTGTAATGGTGATATTTAGTTTGTAGTAAAATGACGACAGAGAGTCCCGTTATGATGATGCCTGGAGGGATTACTGGTAGTATGGGAACTTTGGGAGAGGGCCCAAGAACTGGTAGCGGAGGTGTTCATGGCAATACACATGATTTAGATGGAGTTACAGAGTTGGGTCGTCTTCTGAAAGGGCGAACCCGATTTGATAACATTTTGAACTCTGGACACGTACCGCAAAGGAGTGGCAGTGCTCCTCCCAGCGTGGAGGGGTCATTGGCCACAATGGGTGGGTTTTTCGACATGCCCACCAGCCCCAAAGGTGGGCGCACTGCAAACCTCCAATCAGGGGAGGAGGACGTATTGGATGCCGAAGAAGCGCAGCGCGCAGATCCCAAGTACCTGATATATTATTACAGTAACATCAATCTGAATCCGAGGTTGCCTCCACCGTTGATATCATGGAACAACTATCGGTTGGCGCAGAGGTTGCAATCTGGAATGGGGGCTGGGGGGTTTGGGGACAAGAAGAAATTGCGATCGATGGACGACAGCAGCAGCAGGTCTTTGTACTCGAGCCAGCCAGTATTGCCAACACACAAAGAAGAGCCAGATGTTCCAGAGGAGGACAATTCACCGATGGGCGCCCTTGCGAGGACGGTATCTAGCGACTGGGCAGAAAGAGAGAAGGGCGATGGGTTGATGGGTTTGTCATCTGGAATGGGTCCCCGTCCCAAGAGCCTTGTGGATCTTATTCAGGTACTTTAGCTAATGCAGCTGATCCAGAATTTCTCTGTGACTGGTTGATCACAGTTTGGTCTCTTGTGGTGCTATGGGGCTGAGGTAACAGAGTGGATGTCACGAGTTTTAAGGTTGATTGTGATTTTTGAGTTTTTTTGCCGTGACGGATAATTATAACTGTTATCTGCGATGTTGGGGCAGGAGGATTTCCCTCGAACGCCATCGCCAGTGTATCATTTGTCTCGATCGTCTAGTAGAGCCGCAAATGATGAGAACGAGGCTGCCAATGCGGTGCTGGACCTGCAATTAGCTCATTTGCGAGAGTCGGCTGCGAGGGAATCCATCGCTGTCGTAAGTGGAATGGGGTCTAGAAGTACGACTCCAATATCTGGTGTGTCGAATCTGCACCAAACTTCAGGACCCGCAGCTCCTGTACCAAGAATACCTACACCTGAGATTCCACTTTCAAGCACTGTCCGTTCGGGCAGCCCAAATTTGGCCAGGATGGGTGGTGTATCAGGTAGACTTAAAAATTTCAGTGTTTTAGATGGATTGTGCGTTTGCTGAACATATCGTCTACATTGACATTGCTGGACATTGTGGGCGAGTTTGTGAGGTAAACTGTTGAAGTTTTTGCTTCAGGACTTCCTGGTGGAAACATGTCTATTTCTAGTTCCGAAACGCGGAGCGTGGTGCTGGGTTGCGCTAGTGGTGCCAGTCCTGCGGATTTTTCTCAGATTGCAATGCAGCTGAATAAGACAGCCAGCGCAAGCAATGCGGATTTCGAAGCAGCTTTCAAAGGGTTGAGCATGTCCGATATTCATGGATCTACAGCTGCCCGCGAGGGAAGGGAATTGCAGCAACGGCAACAACAACAGCAGCAGCAGGAGCAGCAGCAGGTGCGGCTCCAGCAACAGCAGCAGCAGCTGCATCGGCAACGGGCTCAGATAGCTGCTCATGCGCAGGCCCAAGCTCAAGCAGCCCAAGTGAGCCGCACGGATCATTGTCTTTGCTGTTGCGATTATGATTGAGTAGCGTGTCTGGCTGCTGCAGGACATGTACAGTTGGTGTCTACTTTGTCCAAATTTTTTCTCAGGTTTAGTTTGTAACCTAGACTTATGGTATGTTTGGTTGCCAGGCTTTGGCATATTCTCAAGCAGTACAGCAGCAGCAATTTTATGCGGGTTTAGACTCTGGGTACCCGGGTCAGCCTAAGTTTGGTATGGGTACCATGGCAAGTCAACAAGTTGGTGCAGCTGGGCTACAACCCACTTTAGGAGCAAATACTAGCCCGGCGAATATGTATGCTGCAGCAGCGGCTGCAATGTATATGGCACAGCAGAATCCCTACTATTCTAATATGAACTCTGCGGCCGTTTACGGTCCTCCGTATGGACTGGGTGGGTACCCAGTGAATCCTGCAATGCTGGTCCCCATGATGACCGGATATCCACCTCCAGTGTTCGATCCTGCTACTGCAACTGCTCTCGCGAGCATGGGCGTGAGAGCTGGTGTCCCCGGTTCTCCTGCTCAAGCAACGGTGGGCATGCAGAATCTGTATAAGTATGCGGGTGGAGCTTCTCCTCCGATGCACGATCCGTTGTATTTGCAGTACATGCGTGCGGCGGAGGAATCCCGAGCAGCAGCGTTGGAGCCTTCAGCGTTGAGGAATTACATGGCTGGGGCTCCTCTGGATGTGGTAGAGATGCAGAAGAATCAGCTGAATGCGATGTTGGGGGGTTATGCAGTGGATCAGAAGTCACAATTTGGAAGGGCGGGATCCATGGGAATCCCGATTGCTAGCCAGAAGAGCGGTTCGGTGAGCCCAGCGTACTATGGTAGTCCTCCTGGGGTAGGTATGCCACACAACAATTCACCCTTAACGAGTCCGGTCCTCCCGGGATCATCAGTCGGACCTGGAACTTTTCCGATGCGGCGCGATGAGCGCAATATGCGGCCGTCTTCAGCATCGAGGACAAATTCGGGCAACACGGGAGCTGCGAGCGGCCTGACATATCCAGGGTGGCAAGTGCAGAAGACGGGCGAGACCACGGAGGAGACACGGGGTTCGACGTTGCTGGAGGAGTTCAAGAACAGCAAGACGAGGCGATTCGAACTGTCGGACATTGCAGGGCATGTTGTGGAGTTCAGGTACGGGTGATGTAGAGATTTCCGGTGGAAGGTGTTTCGTTGGTAGGATGATGTGCTATGCTTTAGGTTGGGATGAAACGTTTGATGCGGGGAATAAGATGTTCGCAAGAGTTAGATACAAGTTAACATGCGTGATGACGGAAGTGTTACTGGTTGAGTGCAGTGCCGACCAGCACGGGAGTAGATTCATTCAACAGAAATTGGAGACGGCAACTCCAGAGGATAAGAACATGGGTTTTCAAGAAATTGTTCCTCGAGCTATTACGCTTATGTCGGATGTTTTCGGCAACTACGTCATACAGAAGGTAGGAGTTGCTAATGGAGGTGGGAGAAGTGGAAGGTTTGAAATTGTTGTTTGGTAATCGGTGACGTGTGGTATTTGGTGGTAGGAGGTTATTATGTTGAAGCTTAGTGGAGCAATTGTAGGCGTTTGCTTGTTTCGTTGGTGATGATGGGTGGGAGGTTGATATTGGTGCAGTTCTTTGAGCACGGTACTCAGCAGCAGAGGAGAGAGCTGGCAAGCCAGTTGGTGGGGCATGTTCTGGTGCTGAGTCTGCAGATGTACGGTTGCAGAGTGATTCAGAAGGTATGACTTGTGGCTGGATTTGCATGGTCGAGTGGATTTGTTGTTTTGGCGAATAGCTGAGACGGAAGGAGAACGAGCTGGTGTTCATTCCTGCGTAGAAGGATTTGAATAAGGGTGGTTAAAAGCTGTTGGGTCATGTTCTGGATTAAAATTTGGATACAAAGTAATTTAACGCAATAGAGACGTGTTTGTGACGTGTATGCAGGCGCTGGAGGTGGTGGACGTGGATCAACAGACGCAGTTGGTTTCGGAGTTGGATGGACACGTGATGCGGTGCGTGCGAGACCAAAACGGTAACCACGTGATCCAGAAATGCATCGAGTGTGTGCCGCCTGCTAAGATCCATTTCATTATCTCTGCGTTTTACAATCAGGTGGTGACTCTGTCAACGCATCCTTACGGATGCCGCGTGATTCAGGTAAATGGACGCGACTTGAAGTTGAGTGGTAGCATTGGTGAACATGTGTGTGTAGTACCGCGTTGCCATCGTAGAGTGAATGGTTTAATATTCTATATTTTGGATGCTCCACTTATGATCCCATCGTAACGAGGCGTAATGTCGAGAATATGGATGAAAACAGCGAGTTTTGGAGCACTGCACGGACGAGCAGAAGCAGAAGGGTATCATGGAGGAGATATTACGTTCCACTTGTACTTTGGCGCAGGATCAGTATGGCAACTACGTTGTACAGGTGAGGAGATATGATGGGGTGTTGGCTATTGATGATTGTGAGGTGGATGCACGGTCACAAAGTTTTGAGCTTTGTGAGTGTACGTATGGAGACATTTGCCTTGTGGATTGGTCTGTATATGTGGGTTATAGAATGGAGTGTAAGGCTGCTGCTTGGTTGTGGTTATGTTATACTTAGTGATCACTTTTGAGTAGTTAGGGATGTTCAGTTTGTGCTTTGTGCTGGATACAGCTTTGCTGACATATTGGTGTATATGCGGCCTCTCCTTGATGTGTTATTTAGCACGTGCTTGAACATGGACGGGACCACGAGCGAAGCGATATCATCACAAAGCTTGCCGGTCAAATTGTGCAAATGAGTCAACACAAGTTTGCATCAAATGTGGTGGAAAAGTGCTTGGAGTATGGTGGCCCAGCTGAGCGGCAGATATTGGTCGATGAAATGCTCGGCCACACTGATGAGAATGAGCCTCTACAGGTAAGGCATGGGGTTGATAAATAAGATTTCGGACCTCGCTTCAGTTGATAGTCATGGAGCTTGATCTACTATTACGTTGTGGGAGTAATGTTCTTCACTCGGTTTCGGTCTTGTAAGTGCGTAGGAAGGGGTCTTGTGTGATGGTGAATGCATGTCTGATCATAGGTTCTGTTATGCAGGCAATGATGAAGGACCAGTTTGCAAATTACGTTGTTCAGAAGGTCTTGGAAACCTGTGATGAATCTCAACGGGAGCTGCTGCTTGGCCGAATTCGTGTGCACTTGCATGCACTGAAGAAGTATACGTATGGCAAGCATATCGTTGCACGTGTTGAAAAGCTGGTTGCTGCCGGGGGTGAGTTTTCTGTTCTAGTTTTCAAAAATTGTGGTACATAGTTGGCGTTGTTTCGCAATTAGTGGTGAAGAGGTTGTAGGATGAGTGGAGCTGCGAAATGTGTGATTGGATCTGTTTTGGTCGTGCTTAGCTTTCACCTTTGCTGAGAAATTTGCATGAATTTTTGTATAATTTCCTGTCTGATAAGAGTTTTGGTTCTTTGCAGAGAGACGTAGCGCTGCCTACATGGCACATATTATGGCTACTTGAAGCTCTGCCACAGACTTGCCGATGCTGGCTTCTCTGAAAATTAGATGGGCCACGTATCATATCATTGCGTGGAGGAACGGAAGTTAGTCTTTTCTTTGCCCATGTGTCATTCAATAATTTCTTGAGTTGTAAACGAAGTGCGGGCAAGCTGAAGATGGAAGGCCAATCTTGGAGTGGGCAGAATTCATTTTGTGAGCAGTAAATAGTGTAACAGTGCAGGGTTGTACTCGGATCATGTTAATGGTTGGGAGAGACGCAGGATGAGGGCCATTGCAGCTCGTGTCTGCATGTACCTTGTGTGGTTTTGTGTTGGAGATTCATGTATTTATAAGTAACAGCTCTAGATGTTGGGATGTGATAGTGCAGGGAGTACTGCCATTGTTCCCACCTCTGAAGGTTATCTCTCGTTTCTCCCCGGTAAGTCGTGATTTTAGGTCAGGCAGTTTATGGAAGAGAAGTGTGAAATGGTACAGAGCAGTGGTAGCGTGTGAAAAGAAGGAAAGGGTCGAGGCGGGAGTTAGCTGTAACAGGCGTGTATAAAGAGCAAGTGTCCTTCGTTCCATTATGTATAGACTGACGTGTGTAGGTCTTGCGAAACGTTGGTTTTGAAGGATCGTAAGGTGGGTGGTTGTAGGACCCGTTCTATCCTTGCTAGTGCTGCTACCGAAGGTTAATTCTTGTGCAGCGGTTGCGCCATGGCCCTCTTGATGTAAATAGGGCCCCTTCAAGTAGAAGGGCCAGCTGGCAATGTCTTTATTCTTTTAGCCTGGTGTAAGGTGATGTCCAAATGCAATTCTGTTCTTCCACATTTGATTATCTTTTATAGTTTACATTTATTTCTAAGGAAGTATATTTCAAAGTTCACGTCAATGATGTTAAACATGAACATCTCAATTCAAAGTGTGCCTGAACAAAGTGACACATATGCCTGTGATGATTGAGGGGTGTTTGAAAACTACATTTATGCAGAACATGATTGGTTTAAATGACCTATGCGTTGTCAGAATTAATAAATGAAAACCGCTGCTATGACGACGATGACACGTAAGGAAGTGTAGGAAAGGAAGTCTTGGTGGAGGTTTTGTGGTTCTTCCGAAAAATTCGTGCTTTACCTTATCTACCACATGAACTAGGCTATTGATTGCTTTGAGAATGATGGAGATGAAGTTTTTACTAATCATATGCTTGGTGCAACTTGAGTTTGAATTGTATTCTTAATTAATAGAAACAATCTTAATCAAATGTTAGCATGCCAATAAATGATTTAAGTTAAATTTTCTTTAGTTTTTGTTTGCTTAGTATATAATTGGATTTTCTCCTTCTATCCACCTCTCTCCTACTTTTTTGAATGAGATATTATATTTTACTTAAAGTATTTGAAATAATGATGGTTGTTGTAAGTAAAATTTACAAATTTTTAAATTTACTTAAAATCCAATTGTATCTAAAGGACTTGGAATAAATATAAGAAATAAAAAAAATAAATTATGTTTGTTTTTTTTTTTTTTTCTTACTTGAATAGAATATATCTATATTAATGAAGTAATAAAAGTATACCAAACTAGATTCTATATATTTAGTAGGTAGAATAAAATGCATTATAAGAAAAGAACAATTGTTAGAATTAATTCATTTAAACTTTTGTGTGAGATCACAATACATTGAGGTATTCTAAATATGTAATTAATAACTTTGTCAAATCTAGAACCTAATATATATTTTATTATCTATGATTTATCCATTCTCTTAAGAAGAAAAATCTCTCGTTTTAAATCTTTTATCAAAAAATATTGACAAAATTCCAACTAATTTGTCTCCTTTTAATGACATCTTTTCAAATCAATCTTCTAATATGGATTTTATTTCATACTTTGTTTTTGAATACATTTTTTTTTTTCTTTGAATTCAAATAGTCTATTAAAACTTATATATTTGGATTTACTCTTTTAAATTTTATTCTGGATTTTTTACTTATTATTCCATTTCTAATTTTAAATGAGTGATCAAATAAGGTTTGGTATTGAAGTTCTATGAGTCCTTGGTTTAGCATTTATTATTTTAGATTTGAAGAATTTTTGAATATTTGGTAGATTAAATTGAAGGCCACTTATTTAGATACAAGTACTTTCATTGCTTCTTTTAGATCAATGATACAAAGACTACTAACATCATAATATTTTACAACAAATTGATTAAACTTTTTGAATTGTGTTGAAGAAGTAATATCCTATAAGAAGTTTTTATTTATAGATTTAATTTTATAAAAAACCTTCAGTAATTCAATCATACATCAAAAAAAAAAATTCAATGTAATGGCTTTATTTGTCACAATGATTTTGGTAGAACATCAATAATCTAGTATTTTTTTAAATAAATAATAATTCAAGTATAATAAGTTAGCTTGTAGAGGATATTAATTTAGATAAGTTAGTAATAGTTAAAGGATTAGCTCTTGGAATATGAAAAAGCCGTCCTATAAATAAGAGATGAGATCAAGGGCCAAGAAATAAGGTCAAAATAATAAAGAATCTACTAATAATATCCTAAGATTATGTAAGAATATAAAGTACATATTAAGAAATATTCTTATAATAGATGAGATACCAATGAATATACTTCATACATCCTTTGATGAATGTAAAAGTCAAAAGATGGAAGTTGTCTATTAGAGAAACAACCTCCATCTATAAGTACAGGGTATTGGAAGTAAGAGTTATCTTCTTCTATATTTCTCTATGTGTGCAACTATGTTGATGCTAAGAGACTTTTAACTTGTCTTTCTTCTTTAGGTTATATGTGAGTTTTGAAGTTCTATAAACTCTTTATTGCTATAAGGAGTACATCATGTTGTTATTATTGATATTAGGATTTAGAATCTCCTAACTTTCACATTTAAATCCTATTCTAGATGTTAGATTACTCTTAGTTGTTGTTAAGTGTATTTCAAATTATGAGTTTGTTTTACTTTTTAAAGCAATGTTTTAGAATACTAGTCTTCTATTATCTTGCTGAGTTAGAACTTTGATGGACTACCTTTGTGCTTTCATATGATAAAAACACTTAAGATGCTTTATAAGGCCTCTTATAGTATTTTGAAGTAATTTGTATGTATAGAAGTAATTTAATACTAACAAATCTAATAGAAGATATTTTTATAATTCATAAGACTTATTAAAAGTCTTAAAAGTGAAGTTGAGAATGATTTGAGAGTGAAATCACTACTTCATTTACAAAGAGGGCATTTTGGAATTCTTAGGCAATAACACCTTCTCATTGATTTTGAGAGCTTTATTGTAATAGGATATAGATAAGATAATTGTATAGATAATTAGAACAATGGAAGTTTTTAGAATTGGAATTAGGTTAGAGGACTAAGTAGAATCCACTATGGAACATTCTAGAAAGAATTTAAGGTCGTTATTTAGGTGGAGCCTATCATAGAAACTTCCAGAAAATGAGTATAAGGTAGTTATCTAAGTGGAGCCTAGAACCTAAGAACATTCTAGAAAGTCTAAGGTAGTAGGATAAGGTATAAATAGCACTAGCCAAGGCCTTTTGGGGCATCTAGTCAAGTATGGCTTTGGATCCTTTCTCTTAGTAAAATTTGGTTTTGCATCTTTTTGTTTAGTTTTGCTCTGTTCTATTTTTTTTGGCTCAGTTTTGTCTTTCATCTCATATTCTGTTTAATTTCGTTTAATTTTGTTCTTATCTATTTTATTCTATTTTGTGATGACACTTTATGTTGATGTGGATTAGAGTAATCTTGAACTTTTGACATAATCTGGTCTTATTTCATTAGTATCAGAGCGAGTATTAGACTGTTTACATTTGATAGTATGTCAATAGTCATCATCTAGTCTAAGATTAGTTGTTGTGGTTACATTGGATATTGTGTTGAAGCTACCACGAGCTACTCTTAAAAAGTCAATCGAGAGGTGAAAAGACATTACAATAGTGGAGTCCACTGGAAAATTACAATATATAAGATATGATGGAGCAATACTAGATGGAGATTCAAATGCAGCACCTCTTAGGCCAAATAGCTACTTTTCAAGGACAAATACAAGCCTCAAGGATAAGAAAGTCGACATTTGCTAGGTTGAAATTGAGTAAGCTAAATATATACTCTAGAACTTCAAGACAAGAAGATGTATGTCAATGGCTCTTCAACATGTGACAATACCTCCAACTATTTGAGGCAAATGCCACTAAAAGAATTATATATGCAACGACCTATTTGAGAGATGCAGTAGCTATTTGGTGGCAACATTGAGTTCAAAACTATAGAGCTCAAGGTAGATTTCATAATTGGGAGGAATTTGAGACCAAATTTAGGAATCAATTTTGGCCCATCAATGTAGAGAAGATAGCACACAATCACTTGACAAATCTTATACAAGCTAGGTTGATGCAAGATTCTGTCTCTCAATTTAAGTCCCTATGTCTCCAAATTGGCAATGTTTTGGAGACAGAGATGATGGATCGATTCCTAAGAAGTTTGAAACTTGAGATCCAATAAAATGTAGAGCTAAGGAATCCACAAAAATTTAAAGAGGCAATTTGGATTACAAAAAGGATTAATGTTATAGATTTCAAAAATTATAAAGCACAGCCTATAATATGAAGTCTTATGCTACTATCTAATACTATGGCACAATAACCAACGCCAATGGAGATTGATGCCCTATAAGGATCACTCTTACTACAAAGATGATAAATATTAGTGCAAAAGGGATTGTATTTTTATTATTAAGAGCCAAGCCATTAAATTGGACATTGTCGAAAACATCAAAATTTAAGCACCAGCAAGACAAGGTGGATTCACAGTTTCAAAACTCACTAAGTTGATAATGAGTCAGAGTAGGAAAACAGGGCTCCGTAGTAATGGTGCTAGAGGCTAGTATTGAAGATAGCTACTATCTCTCAGAGACAAATGGCATGACCTTGGACAACTATAAAAAGAGTCAACTAATGCATCTAATAGAACTACTAAGAAGACAACCATGTCAAGTGCTTGTAAATTGTGGCTCTATACAAAATTGCATCTCAATTGAAAATACTAACCGACTTGGAATTAAATCTAAGGTAATCAAAGGAAGAAGTATATATCTTGTAGATGATTGAGAGAATGTATTGACTGAGACGTGTGAAGAAAAAATCTTGAGATTAATTGACATCTACATCTTAAGAAAAGATTCAAGCTAACAAAGCTAAGGTATGATATTATCTTTGGTATGCCATGGCTAGAGATGGAAAATAAGCAAGTTGATTGGGTAGCAAGGACAATCTCTTTTAATGATAGAAGATGCAAGGTGATTCTCTACACCTCTGCATCAAGTGAAGAGGATAGACAAACTGTAACTAAATATTTACTTGTAGGGACAACTTTTATGAAAAAGAAAATACAACATGAGCAACCAATATATATAGTGGTTCCAACTTTTGCATAAGTGGTGCAAAAGATAGTCAAAGGAGTAGAATGAGTAGAGCAATTCATATGAAAATATCAAGATGTCTTTCCAACCAACCTACTTAAAGGTATACCTCCTAATCAAGGTGTCTCCTTTCAAATAGAACTATTGTCTAGAGCCAAATCAACAAGTCGAGCAATTTATTACTTAACACCAAAAGAATTTCAAGAGTTGCAGAAGATATTTGATGAAATCTTAGAAAAAAAGCTTCATTTGAGAAAGCACATCACCATGGAAAGGAACTGTATTCTTTGCATCTAAGAAAGATGGTGGACTTCATCTTTGCATTGACTATTGAGGCCTCAATAAGTAGACTATTAAAAATACATATCCACTTCCATACGTAGATGATCTTCTTGACCAACTTTGAGATGCAACCTTCTTTAGTAAATT